TCACAAGAACGTCGAATCTGAATCACTTGAAAAAAACACGGGGGTGCTTAACTTTTTTCCAGGTGTATATATTTAATATGTAAAAGTTATGAATTTTGTTTCCTTTTATGTTCTACTTCATACCAATTTGTTTTAATCAAGTGTTCATTATACAGCTGTAAATCCACAGATGCCAGTGGCTGGATCAGTCCCTGGTCCACATCTCCCTACATCTGGTATTGACTTGACTGCTGTCCAGGCCCAGATGTCCAAAGGTAAATAGAACGTTTATTTACTCTTCATCTCTATCAGTACTTTCAGTTGTATTTGATGAATAAGTATAAAACTTTATTTCTGTCGCTAGTAGTCTTTTCACATCCCTCTTTACAGGCACCAAAATTTTTTTTCATCACCATTTTTTTTTAAAAGTTCTCTCAGATAGTTAAATACAAGATTTGTCTGTGAATTTATGAAGCCTTTACTGAATCTGACTCAAAGATGATTTCCATGTTAAGAATAGAAATACATATTTTTATTTTACAAATGAATAGTGTTTTGTGAATTGTTTTTATGTAGTTCTATATAGTATGTTCCATTGGAGTAATAAATTTGTGTTGGAATATTTTTAAGGCACTATGGGAATGGCTGAAGATCTGTCACTGAAGTCAGGAAGTGACAAGGCATCTACCAGTAGAGTAGGCCCTTCAACACCAGGGTTAGAGAATAAATAATTCATGTTAGCTTATCAACGTTTTATTTATTTTTTGCAAGTTAAGGAACTGAGCCAACTAAAGGAGAGATATGACAAGTTGATAAAAGAGAGAGAGAGAGAGAGAAAGAAAATATCAGCCTATCATCAAATTTTAATGTCATCAGTAAGAACTTCTGAAACTAAAAATTAGTTTATTCACAAAAAACATCAAAACTATAGGTTAATATTGGTTCAACTGGAAATTCAACAAGAAGAGCATTTAAAAGTAAGCTAACCAATATTTCAAGGCCACAGAAAATCCGGGTGGCAAGGTGGAAGAAGCACGAGACACAAAGTGTATTCTGCCTGAACTTATAGTATCAGAACATAAATGTGTATGAAATATTATTAACTACTGGGAAATATCAACACGAGGTGAAAAATACAATTTGAAAACAGTATAACCGTGGTGTGCAAATTGTGGGGGGTGCATCCTTTGAGGGGTCACAAAGAGTCGGTAGGGGAACTATGACTGTAGGAATAAGTAAATTATATCTGAACGTACAAGTTTATAAATGAAGTTTTAAAAACTGTCGTACAAATATTCCTAATATTTAGTAACAACAATTAGCATGAGAAAATGACGTGTAAAATATATATACAAATAGATTATGAGAAGGGGTTGCAACAAAATGCATGTTTAGAAGGGGGAGGTGGTATAAAAACGTTTGCACACCACTGCAGTATAAAGTCAGAAGTTTGAATTAATTGGCAAATTTAAAAAGTGCATCTATTTCTTTAAATTTCTATTTTTTCATTATCTGTATCTTTCAATTTTGAACTTCTTTTAGGACATTTTGATTAAAGTAATAATATTGGATATGTTATATAAACTATCCATACGACTGGTGTTGCATCTTGCTGCCTTCTCCTCGTGACCCTGTTGTGTTAGTCAGCATTTTTTAAAAGGAGTTCTTCTTGTGTTTGTGTGTTGTGTTCAGTTGGCCCAATAATGACCTTAAGATAACACTAAAAGTTTGATAATAGTTACTAAAAAAAAAACCTGGTTTTATGTGTTACTGTTAGCAGATATTCAATTGGTACTGGTAATTCTAAATTTCCCAGGTTTCGGGAATTAAAAAAAAAACAATAAAACATTAACTTAATCATCGCATCTTTACAGTCACAGGTTTATAAGAGTTGCAGCTGAAAGAGTTTAACCAGTAAAATTTGTAAAAAGAAATAGGCTTTCAGGTACTGATTGTTCTTCCTGCTTAAGTGCAACCAAGCACTTGTGGATCTAATTTTGTTTATGCTATTCTGTTTTGGTTTGGGTTTCAACTTTTCATTTACTGGGTTTCTCTCTATTTATTTCTAAAAAAAAAAAAAATTGTTTTCTAAAGTAATCTATTGGTATTATCACGATTTAGTAATACAACCAAATTCTTTATGGTTTATAAACATTTAAGGTAAATAGTAATCTTCTGAACAATATTATTGATTCTATCGACTTCTTTTGTATTACAGAAATGAGAATCTGATAGTTTCATTGCACTAAAATAAAAAAGTTTTAAGATTTTGCAGAGAAAATTAAGTGATTGTTTTTGAAATAATTAATTTGTGGAATAACATCTTTCACCAAAAATATGTAAAGGTATATGTGATGAGTGGTTGATTTTATATACTTATGTAAAAGAAAAGATTTATATTGTAAGTTTATGACAAAAAAAAAAATTGTGATTAATATGATAAATGGCAAGAAAGGATAATTTAAAGAAGAAAAACTACAACAGTTCTTGAATAGGTGGAATGCTACTGCAAATATGTGTAACTGGAATTGAATTCTTTGTTTTAATGTTGTAGTTTGTGTGTTAAAAATAATTCCAGTAAAAAAAAACTGTGATTATAACAACTATAGGAACTTTTTTATTCTTTTGTGATATTATCATGTCGTTTCATGTTTCTGTTCTTCATCTCTTGCTGTTATCAGCATTCCAGCTTGTACATTTAAGACATTTGTCAATTTACATTAACTCTCATAAATAAATAAAATGTATAGATACGTATAAGTCCCATTGTTAAAAATCCTGTGGTACAGTTGCCCACTCCAGGCTCTCGTTTCCAAAATATGCATGCTTTAATTCAGTGGTGAGAGTTTTGATTATTAATAAAAATTGTGTTGAAAGTTTTAGAAAACATTTATTGTTGATTTTCTTTTGTGTGTGTGTGTGTGTGTGTCTGTAAAAAAGAAAGAAAAAAAATCTACAGGTGTCACCCATATCACTTGTTCAGTTTATCTGAAATATATCCGCTAATAGTAATAGCATAAACTGGATTTGCTGTAGAACCAACATAAGGTTTTTAAATGTTGTGAACAGCTACATAATGTGCTCAAAAATGATTTTAAGTATTTGCATTTCAGCCCTATGACATGAAATTAAACATGAACTATATATTTTTTTTGACAGCACATAGTTTGAAAAAAAAAATGTTTGTAAATTTGTATTCAAATATCCGTTTCATTTTTTTTTCTTAAATTACTCTTACAATAAATTTTACAGACAGATAAATGACTTTGTGTGAAATTTTGTGAATGCTAAATCAGCAAAGTTGTAGATTTTAATAGAAATTAAAAGCTTGCTCTTGGGTAATGATTATATAAATGAATTTCGGTTAAGACAGTTTCATTTATACTAGTTTTACTGTCAGGTATTACAGAAATTAAAGAACTTAAAAAAATTGAGTCATTATCTTTCGGTCAGAAAAAATAAATGCTTCTAATAAGTAACAGTACGATCTGGTGATGAAAACAACATAGAGACCAGTTTAAACGTCGGGTTATTTAAGTTCTTGACAATCGATACTGTAACATTTTGTTCGTTCTTCATATGGTAGTAACTCAGTTTTCCAAGTTTTAAAATTAGAGCCAATAGATTAAGAAAATGTGCATTTGTAATTGTTATTAGTGTTCGTAAAGTTTACGGCATATTTAGTACCATCTGATTTACAGAATGGCATTTTAATTCGTGAGTGAACTTGTGTTGCTTAACGTACACCCCTTATAACTTTTAGTAGCGTTTTTAATTACCTATGTTATTATATAAGGAATATTACGTTTATAGTCCTGTTTAAAAATTATTTTTCAACGTTGATTTTCTTTTTCGATATGTTGGACTGATCTCCCATCTGATGGGAGAGAAGTCAACTAAAATGTAAAAGTATTTAGGCTATTGTTCCTTATACAAGTTGCTGTTTTTTTGTTTTCGTGTTGTTTGTTTTTTTTTTTTTTCAGTAATGTTTGTAATGTGATATCTGTTATCTGCACGTTTCATGGAACAAGAGTTTCCCGCCATCTGTTGGTAAATACTTTGTATTAATTTTTAGTTTGGAAAAGCATTCAAAGAAGTAATTGATACTGGATTGTGTAGCTGTTTGCTTTTTTATTTATAGTAGTAATATAACTTCTTGCTTGTTACTGTTCAGTAATATAAAACAGTAATCGCGCGATATAACAAAACTACCGATGATTTGTTGATTAATTGTTTCGTCTTTTCTTGATAGCATGCATATCTTTTAAGTTTTTTTTTTTATGATAAGTCATGCACCTTAAGACAGTTGTTGTGGTACTTTTGAGTAACTTTGCACAATCAACCAGATGTTTTTTTTTCTTTGTTTCTTTGTTGTTGTTGTTGTCGTATATTCATGGTAGCTGTGCTCACGTACTTCATACTCTGTATATTTTTATCCACGATAGAGGATCAGTTCTGCGCATTTTATACAATTTTTTTGATCAACGCACCTGCTCAGAAACTGAGGCATACAATAAAAATTATAATGTCACGAAAGTATAAAGTATGTAAGAATGTACTTTGTTTATATATATATATATAATATTAAGTCGTTAAGTATCGTAATTTTGCGAAAATTAAGTTTTTTTGTTTTTTTTAAATAATATTTTGATCGCAAATACTTTGATTTTTTTTTTTTACTTGAATAGAAAAATCTTACCAATATTTGATCTTCTGGGTGTATTTAATATGTTATTCATTTTATTAGACACTGTAGTAAAACATCAATGCCTTAATCATCCCCCCTTTTACCTAGACACATGATGATGTAGTTGATTCTTGATTTGTGTATCATAAAGAAATAATAGAAAAAAAAAATAGGCTTGCTTATTCATTTTTTTAGTAATTATAGTTTATCATATGATCGACAGAGGACGCCACTTACAGTGGATTCACCGATTGCTTTAGTAATAATTGTTATAATACACATTTCTTATAATGATACTCGAGAGGTTTTTTTTTGTCTTGTAGTGTTTTCTTGATAATAAAGTGCTCATTTTATCTTGTATGTTTCTGATTTTTTTTACTATTTTCATCAATGTAATGATTAAAAACAAAAATAATAAATTAGGTGTTTAAATTATTAAACTATATAAGTGGCTTGCTTTACTGCTGATAAATTTAACGAAGGAAATGTAGCAGTAAAATGTCTCGCAATATATTGCAGAATTACTACCATTGTATTTCAGTTCAGTATGATATTTTTCTAGCCTAACTGCATTATTTCTAGGTTAAACCTATCTCTTTACAAAAGAGTGTAATTTAGTAACAAGAAAACATCAACAACGCCCCTGGGAAATTTATTCAGTTGTAGTAAACCTGTTACAAAAAGAAATAGCCAAACTAGATAACTTCGTATACTGGGTTAAGTTTTGAAAGAAGTTTACTTTTCTTGTTATAAGACAACTCTGTAAAAGTATGAAAACTTGTAACTTAATCTAAACAATGAAATGCTGAAGAAATTACTTTTTTTTTCTCTCCTACTTTTCAGATCTTACTTGATCGAGTAAAATGCGACCTGAAAGATTTCTGTAGTTTTGTAAAAGTCACGTTAACTAAGTAATGTAATTTAGAATACTATTTCAAAACTTGTGCATGAAAAATGTCAATAGAATTGATTAAAATGTTTAGATATATCAACCCTAAAATCATGAGTCGATCTTGTTGAAATTGCCATGTTTGGTGGTAACTCTGATCAAGAAAAAGTCCATTAGACCAATTTCTCATAAAACTGCATAAGTTTTAGGGTACAATATCGTGCGCTTATAGTGTTTCGACTAAGTCTGTTGGCTAAAAATCGTGGTGGGCAGAGCACAGATAGCCCATTATGTAGTTTTGTGCTTAAAACCAATCAATCTTATGTTTTGGAAAATGCAGTAAAACTCCTTAAATGATTTGGTATTATTGAAAAGTCTTCCCAAACCCAGGTTTATTTTTTATTTAGGGCCACTTCTTTTTAATCTTGATTTGCACTTTAAGAATAGGTTTCAACGTGTTCATGACAACTAGGACTCGGTGCTATGTTTTCAACTATTTTTTATGGTTTTCGTTGGTTGTTGTGGTAATTCATGTCTCTTTCTGTCAGTCACCGAACGATCTATGATGATGAAAGTGGTTACAATGAGAACAAAGTAAGTCATTTTTACTATTGCTTGTGACTCGCAATCTCGGGTTCGAATCCCCGTCACGGAACAAGCTTGCCTTTTCATTCGTGGGGGAATTATAATGTGACGGTCAATCCCATTATTCGTTGGTAAAGGAGTAGCCCAAGAGTTGGCGATGGGTAGTGTTGAATAACTGTCTTCCCTCTGGGAGGATAGCAGAGATATCCTTCGTGTAGCTTTGCGCGAAATTCAAACCAAGCTTTCTAACCGATATAACTTCAATAGGAACTCCATTGAGACTAGAGTAAACGTGATTTTTAGACATTCTTCCATTATACGTTAATTAGATGAGTAGTGAAAACAGGTTTTAATATAGGTAAATTACTTTGCAAAAGGCAATAGACTTTCACCAAAGTCTTGACAGAAACTGATGAAAAAGTGATTTTCAATGATTTATCTGCAAGAGCTGAAACGACAAAGACAACATTTGTAGTGTTCAAAAGCTCCAATAGGGAAATAATTTTAATGCTTTTTACAGTTTTCCGGATGGCTAAAACAGTTACTAATTTCCGTATGCCCGGCATGGACAGGTGGATAAGGCGCTCGACTCACAATCTGAGGGTCGCGGGTTCGAATCCGCATACCACCAAACATGCTCACCCTTTCAGCCGTGGGGGCGTTATAATGTGACGGTCAATCCCACTATTCGTTGGTAAAAGAGTAGCCCAAGAGTTGGCGGTGGGTGGTGATGACTAGCTGCCTTCCCTCTAGTCTTACACTGCTAAATTAGGGACGGCTAGCGCAGATAGCCCTCGTGTAGCTTTGCGCGAAATTCAAAAAAACAATTTCCGTATGACTGAGTTCCGATTTTACGGATAAAAAAAAAGCACTTGTTAATATTTCTTACTCTGAATTAAAAAAACAAATACAACTTCAATATCGCCTAGCTAAGTAAAAATAAAACGAACAAAAATAAGTGTGCATAATATTGTGGTATTTGTAAAGTTTTAAAAATATTTAACTTTTATTTGTGCTGGGTTTAATTTATCATTTTTTAGGTTGGATAGTTTCGCACAGTTATGCTCCTGAACACAATTTATTCTTTCAGTTGTGGGTACGCAGTAAGAGTCACAGTCAATATCGTTATTCGATTTAAGGCTAGAAAAAAAAACGTTTGTGGCGGCAGGGGCTGCCTTCTCTATGATCACTTATTTAAATTTAGGGACGACAATACCTGAATTCGAGAAATCTCTGAAACAGTTGGTTTGAGAACTTTTAATGGCTGTTAATTAAAAGAAAAGGAGACGACGTTTCGACCTGAAGATGGCCTCAGTATAAAAGCCGAAACCTTATTTCCTTTTCGTTTAAAAGACAGTTGTACTCATTCGAAGTTCTCAAACCTACTAATCCTACTTTGCCTAAAATTACTAAGCCTACTCTGCCTAAAATTACTAAGCCTACTCTGCCTAAAATTCCATTGAAACAAAATCTCTTGTTAGATGAAGTTGCATTCTTTTGGGATTCAAAATTTTATATGTTTACTATTAATCAAGGCAAGAAATATTTTTGTTCATGGTTTGGTAATCATGCAGCATTCATACTTTTGGTATTTTAAGACTCGACAAAAACAAACGCAAACATCGCCCAATAATTAGATATTCGACTGTCAAGTATGTAGGAGACAAACGAAGTGATTTCTCACGCGTTAAGTGAACGAGACAACTCTTGTGTGAAGATGTGCAAGACAAATATTTTATTGGAAAGAATGAGATGGCTGTGGTCGACGCTAATGGGAGCGAAAAGAAAATTAAAATAGCAAACTGATTTTAATATAATAAAAAAATGAGGCAATAGAACGCTGGATTTTAAATAAAAATCTATATTTGAACTATTCTCGGATTTAAGAAGAACAAAAGAGAAGAAACACGTGATTGGTTAAAAAGATAACTACTTAAGAAAATGAACAAAAAAAAACAACAAACAAGCAAAGCGTCAATCTCAAAATCAAATCTTGTCTCTTTGAGAGGAAACCTTTGTCACGATCCACATTCTCCATAGCTGACCCACGCACACGACGAAATTACCAATAATTTTGTTATTTGCTACCTCATGTGCCAATCATAAAATAACCTCGCATCACCTTTGACTAGGGCTAATTTCACACTTGACTTAGACAGGATTTATCGAGTTCTGAACTAGCCTCTAGAATATATACCGTAGTAGTGGAATGTGTGGCCTTACCAGTATACCGAGGCGTTTTTAGTACTTATTACCGATTATTCCTGGTGGATCAGTGGTAAGTTTTACAACGCTAAAATCCGGGGTTCGATTCCTCGCGGTGAACAGAGTACAGATAACTCATCGTGTAGCTTTGCACCAAAACAACAATTATTACTGATTATTAATAGTATTATTTGGTGTGCAAGTTGAAAGAGTAAATTTATTAAAACCAAACTTAAAACACCATAGTTATTGGTATTATTCTGAACATTAACAGTTAAGAAACTTAAGATAAACTTGATAAAATCAGGTTTGAAGAGCAGATGTAACACGTTTAACGGCCAAGCCAACTATTTACATATGGGTTAATGAAATTTGTAACTAAATGTAGTGGTTTGGAATAATAAACAGTTCTCAATATTAAGTGAAACTACAAACAAAGTGGTTCTTTAAACATGGGAAGTTGATTGGTAATGGAGTTTACAAAAAAACATTAAATCGCCGCAAAACAGAACTTTCTGGTATTTTTTAGAAGTTATTCAAACAGCTCGTGGGTTTATACAGACGTAGTATAAACTGTTCAGCATAAGAAAAATATTCCAGATGTTGACACACCCAGCAACAGCATTAGAGATGCAAGCTTCGGATCCGTATATGTAGAGGGGGCAGTGCTCGTGGATTAAAGGCGACGACATCCTGTCTGTATGACTTCGAAGGAAAACTCCCGCTTTAGTTCCGCACTCGTGGGTCACGTGAGTGTACTGGCAGTTGATGAAGTCACTGTACGAGCTGTGAAGATTAAAAGAAGATTTATGCATTTTTATTATTATTGATTTGATCTAAATTCTCCTAACAGGAGCGTTAATTAGTATATTATAACGTGTCGGCTCCTGTAGTCACACCTTCTAAAAGAAAACACATAATTCAGTGGTAAGTTTCTCTTTTTTTTTTTTAGTTAAGCACAAAGCCATACAATGGGCTATCTGTGCTGTGCCCACTACAGGTATTGAAACCTGGTTTTTAGCGTTATAAGCCTTCAGACTTTCCACTGAGACTCGGGAGTAAATCTAAAGGCTTATAATGCTAAAAACCGGGTTTCGACACCCGTGGTGGGCATAGCACAGATGGCCCATTGTGTGGCTTTGTGCTTAATAAAAAACTGTTGCAGCTTATTGTGCTCCACAAAAACTGTAAACAATTAAACAATCTACTTTCGATACCCGAAAATATCTGATAAACAGTAGGCTAAAATTTGAACACGTAAAACCAGTGAATAAATAAATTAAAAAAAAAAGATCTTCCTCCTGAATCACAGGTCGACAAAAATCAATAGTTATCACGTGTTGAACAGAGAAAGTATTTAGTGACAAACGTAAACAACAGAACCCGAATAACTGACCATTCAGCTTGTAAAGCTGGACAATCACTTGACTTCAACCATACCCATTTTACTCTGCTGACGTTAACAGTGAGTGACGGCAAAACGAAAAAAAAAAACAATACTGATGGCTACACTGCAATCATGTGTACTTGATCTCATTTTTCCTCACGTGTCGAGCATGATCTTTAAACAAATTGTTGTTAGGGGGCGCTCGACTCGCAATCTGAGGGTCACGGGGTTCAATCTTGTTCCCGAACATGCTCGCCCTTTCAGCCGTGGTAGCATTATAATATTCCGGTCAATCCTACTATTCGTTGGTAAAGAGTAGTCCAAGAGTTGGCGGTGGGTGGTGATGACTAACTGCCTTCCCTCTAGTCTTACACTGCTAAATTAGGGACGGCTAGCGCAGATAGCCCTCGTGTAGCTTTGCGCGAAATTCAAAAAAACAAACAAATTTTGAAGTAAGGGCTACTTTACTGAGAGTAGGGTTACGTCGATTATTTTAATACACCTGAACTGAAATTGAAAAAAAAAACAACAAAAAAAAACATAAGTTATATTTCATTAACAGCAATAGAGGAAAAAATACACACTTACTTTGAGTGTGACCCGCATGCCACGGGTACTGTGTCAAATAAATGTAACCCTGAACAGATTGGCCTCTGCCGTAGTAAGTAACCTTTGTCTAAGATAGAGTAATAGCACAAGTTTACGACCTTTCACATCCTGTTTACTAGAGCGTCAACTAACTGAATGTAGAACACAAATTTGAAAATATTTCCTGAAAATACCCAGATAAAGATATGTTCACATTTTAATATTTAATAGTTTGAAAAGCGGTATAATTTCACGCACAAATAAAAACTTCATATAAATAACAAAATCATACAAATTAAGTTCTACTGAAGTTAGGTTTTCCTTCCAATATCCTTCTGCAATTTGCTTAGAAGTTACCAAGTTTGCCTTGTACATACAGAGGTTGAGTGTGTTATATCAAAACGATTTTTAAGCTTCACCATACCGTTACAGTCTATGTCGCCATGTCTGGTCACGTTTTATATGATGTCTATGCATCTTAACTATACCCCTGCAATGTAGTTTCCATTGCAGAAGGCCCCATCTTAAGGTAGTCATGTCCGAAGCACACTATTCCTTTCTACTTACTTTCGATAATCCATCTCGTGTACGAGGACTACAGTTTCTCAGTGCCTGTTTCAACAGCCATATTGCACAGGAGTCCATAGGCGACCTGACCAGTATGTCTTCGTACGGAATAGCATAAATAGCTATTTCTTTCCCCAGGTTCTTCACTTATGTGACGATTGATTGGGGGTGGGCGGGGTGGGGTATGTCTGGGAACCTTATTTTTGTGAACCCATTCACCATTGGCCTGGTTATCTTTCTTCATCATGTCTCGTATTGTTGCCGAGGGCACGTGGACGCCTTTTGTCACTGACCTGTTTGTTCCTTGGAATCTCATTTGTTACAAGACACCACACTTTGCTTACCATAACTGGTGTACGACTTCTTGCAGGCCTGTTTCTGGGTGGTCCTGGTGCCTACACATTCCTTTGTTTTCCAACATCATAAAGTAAAAGGGATATCCCCGTCTTGGAAAGTCTAAATCCTCAGTCTGAATACATATTAGAATATTGTTGTGGTGCAATCCGTTCCATCGCGTCTTTATGTCGGTTGTGATTATCATGTGACTTACTGATTTGCATATTCAAAATTACTCAACCCTCTGTAGTCTGAGGTAGATTTGTTATGGATGATATCTCACGTTCGAATAAATATAAACCTGCAACCTTTTGGCTAAAGCTGCTTCCCACATTTGTATCATGTATTGGTTGAAAGACAAGTTGGCCGGCTTACACTAACATGTTTCTAGTAAAAAGTATATATCAATTAATATTTCGTTTATTGTGAAACAGTGATAGATCTTATGAGTAAAGTTAAGATCATTATCATGGAAACATCTGTGTTTACTAACACAAGGCATTAATTCACTCACCAGATTTATTAAAATATCTTAAATGTTTGTTTCTTTTGAATACGAGGGAGTATCTGCACTAGCTCCATAATTTAGCAGTGAGAGACTAGAGGGAAGGCAGCTATTCATCACCACCCACTGCCAACTTTTGGGCTACTCTTTTAACAACGAATAATGGGATTGACCGTCACATAATAACGTCCCCACAGCTGAAAGGGAGAGCATGTTTGATGGGATGGGGATTCAAACCCGCGACTCTCAAATTGCGAGTAGAACGCCCTAACCACATGGCCATGCCGGGCCAAAAT